TACCCATAGCTCTTTTTAAAAACACCAAACTCTAAAATTTCAGGCCATTTCCCCCCCACTGGGATAGGTTTAAAGTCCAAAACAGTATCTTGAACTTCTGTGAAGGCACCCTTTTTACTCCTTAAAATACCAGGCTTTTCCCAATAGGAAAAAAAAAAATCAGACTGAAAATTTCATCTTTGCCTGGTCTGGAGATGTCACATTTGGGACCATGTATTTCATATCCAGAGATGGAACAAACATATAAAGCAAAAGGGTGAAAAAGGTGTTTGCTCATTCCTGGTATACAGCTCATAGTTTTGTTTGTTTAGCGGAAAGATTATGCAGAAGAACTCCCCTTCCCAATCCCAGATTAATAATAATAGTTTGTTAAATAGTTAAACTAAAAAGTAACCTGAAACAAAGCCAAGAGGATTTTTAAAAAAATTGGAATACTTATTAAAGAATCTACCCACCCCTACTTTCCACATATAATCTTTGAGAGAAGTATAACCAATTAAATATATATTCAGTATTTCTATCTAAAATGAAATTTGTGTAAACAAAGGAAATCTATTAGCAAAAACGTTATCAATAACCTTTGTGCTCAATACAGAAGTTTCATATAACATCAATGACATTCTCTTGCTATTAAATGAAATAGATATATACCATGCTTGCCTGATTCTAGATGTTTTATAATGATAGAAAAATGGGGAAATAATTCTTTGCCCTATACAAACCTAAGTAGAAGACATCAGAATGAGGAATGTTTGAAAAAAGAACAGCTTTTTGGAAGAAGTCATTTTAATTGCTGTTAAATGGCAGGAAATTATCACAAAAGTTGTTTCTGGGACTCTAGTTCTGTTTCTATTTTGCAGAGAACGGGATCAGTGTTTTAATGCAGGTCCTTTGTGATAAGTACTCCTAGATATATAAATCTACCTGGACTGATGTAAAGTCCCATAACTTATCAAAGCTCTTTCTGTGAATCTTTCTCAGTATTAATTAACATAGCAGATGATTTACTAAAGTTAAACTTCTAAATCTGCCACTGAATGGAATATATGTAATTCAAACTGTCAGAGATATATCTCTATTTCGATCCCTCAGACACATAAGCGTATTATCTGCAAATAGATTAATTACATGATATTACATGTTTTTCTATTCAGACTTGAATATTCTTGTTTTGCCTAATATCTGTGCTCTTATACAAAAAAACTAGTGAGAAGTTGGTATACTGTATTTAGCATAATATAGCTAATGCTTAAATATAATCTATAATCTAATTTCTGTAGAAGTAGATTGATTCAGATAAATATAATTACTTAAGAACTCTTTAATATAC